CTTTGGGCCAATCATCAGGAGACAGTGAGTTCTAGTCCTGCCTTAGGTACGAAAGCCAGCTGGGTGACTTTGGGCCAATCATCAGGAGACAGTGAGTTCTAGTCCCACCTTAGACAAGAAAGCTTGTTAGGTGACTTAATGGGCTAATCATTAGGAGACCGTGAGTTCTAGTCTCGCCTAGAGGAATTTCCTAACAGTGAAGAGAATTAACCAGTGGAACAGCTTGGCTCTAGAAGTTGTAGGTGCTGGAAGTTTTTAAGAAAAGTGTGATGACCCAGGGTGGGATACAAACGTAACAAAATCCAAAACGTAAATAAATATTCTTTATTGGCCCCACTGTTCTAATAATACTCGGCTGGAAATAAAACATACTCAAAAATAGTCTTCAAAAGAAAGCAATACAGTCCGAACTTAATGAGCAGATAGAAGTGAAATTAAAAAAAAACCAAACAAATTACAATGATGACATTTCCACAACGGAAACAGGATAAGTAATTACCAAATTCGAGGAGATAACAAGACGCAGTCTGTTGGAAGGACGCCAAACAAGATAACTTCAGACCAAAATAAAACAACGCTTTGTTTCCAGCGTTCACCAGTACGCATGTCCGTCCTCTTATCCAGTTGTCACAGCTGCAGTCCATGAAGGGGATCAGGGCCCCTTCCTCCCCTGTAGACCATGCAATTCCCGTTTCTCCCTTCCCCTCTCCTCCCTGCTTGTCCTAGGATGCAGAGGGGATGGGCCTGGGTCCTCCTCTGACTGCCCAGCCGGCCTCTGCCCTTCCCCAGCCTCCTCCACAACCTCTGGAGCCACACTTCCACTCCCTGTTGGCCGTTCCTCTTCTCCCTCAGAGTCAGTCTCCACCAGGGGTATGACAAAAAAATTGGATAAATATTTATCTGAAATGGTATAGGCCATTTATAGCCCATACTATAGGATCTTCTGCTTGAGCAGGGGGGTTGGACTAGAAGACCTCCAAGGTCCCCCCAACTCTGTTATTCTGTAAATCCGTGTCAAGGGGACTGGAGACTAAAACATATGAAGAACGGGTTACTGGGCCTGGCTGGTCTAGTGAAGAGAAGGACCGGGGGAGACAGGATAGCAATATTTCCAATATTTGAGGGGCCGCCCCAGAGAGGAGGAAGGGGTCAAGCTATCTTCCAAAGCACCTGAAGCCCCAACAAGGAACAATGGATGGAAACTGACCAAGGAGAGATTCAACTTGGAAATGAGGAGAAACTTTCTGACAGGGAGAGCCATCAACCCATGGAAAGGAAGTTGCCTTCAGAAGTTGTGGGAGCTTCATCCCTGGAGGCTTTCAAGAAGAGACTGGACTGCCCTCTGTCAGAAATGGTGTAAGGTCTCCTGCTTGGGGTTGGACTAGCTGACCTCTAGGGCCCCTTCCAACTCTATTAATCTGTTATTATTCTGTTATTCCGAAGTTGTGGGAGCTTCATCCCTGGAGGCTTTCAAGAAGAGACTGGGTTGCGATCTGTCAGAAATGGCGTAGGGTCTCCCGCTTGGGGCGGTGGGTTGGACTAGATGACCTATAAGGCCCCTTCCAACTCTGATTGTCTGTTATCTGTTACCAATATATTTTTTTTTTCCTTTTGCGTTCCAGGGAATTTATACTCAGAAGAGGATGGATCCTAAGAGAGTTAAGGAGGAAGTGGTGGACTTCGCTCGCTTTAAGTGGCCTTTGCTCTTCTCTAGGTTCTACGAAGCATTTAAGTTTTCAGGTAAGCCCCAAAGTTTCCCATTGCTCGAAGACGACAGATTCACAAACGACAGAAAGGGGGGGGGGTCACTCATGCAATTAGGTTGTCAACTTTTCCTGATCACGTGCGCTCTTCTGCCAGCATTCGGGACATCCCAAGCACCTTCTCCAATCACAAAATGCTGCTGTCAGGATTCCGGCAGTCACCCCGATTTAAATCATGAGCCTCGAGCCAAACTTCCAAAACTAAACAGGATTTATTGAGAGTTAACATGCCATGTTGGTGTAGCCGACTCTGAGATACATCATTCATGGTCACCTTTGACCCTGGTTTTTCCCCCCACCCCTCTGGTGTATCGTAATTCATATTCTCCAATGGGACACCTCCCTAGCCCAGAGTCCTCAATCATGCCCTCCAGTTGGAATTTTGCATGGCAGAAACTTCAGTCACCTAGTCACTATCGCTGAAAAATATTTATGGAATGCACTTTCGATTTCCAAGCTGCCGCACTGCTCTTTCAAACCCCTTTCCCCCCCCCTTTTTTCTTTCTGTTGGCAACTCTAAAAGACCGTAAAAATATTTTACGAGTTGACAGCCGCAAGATTTCAGTCAACTTCCAAGTGTTTTTAGAGTTTTCAAAAGATCGCTTTGTTTCCTGGATCGTTACGTTGGTATTAATTCTCTACTCTTAGCTTATTACTGATACACATCGTATCACAATCCTCATCTTAACTTACTTGCTTCTGTAAACATATTTTCTATTCACTAGTCTCTAACTTTCATATTTTTTTCTCTAACCATCGATAAAACGAGTCCTCGAATATTTTCTGTGTGTTCCTCATCAAAATATCCCACCTGAATTACTGAGCCTGCTGTAATTCAATTGGGATATTTTAAGGATGGATGGAATAGTAAATGTCCTATTCAGAATCTAGACAAAATGGTTTCTCCCAGAAAACTTGTTTGGTAGATTTCTAGCTAGCACATATAAAGTGAGTCCTTGAGTTATGACCATAATGGAACCTGCCCATTCTGGTCGCAACTCATGATGGCTGTATGATTTTGTGACCTCTTTTGTGGCAGGTATTAAGAAAACCCACTGTGGTTATTCATTGGATGAATAACCTGAGCACTGAGGTAAAATCTGTGGTCATTTAGCGACCGCTGAGTTTGAATCTGTGGTCGTTAAACAACCCTCTGGGCTTTGGAAAATAAATTGACTCCCTGTTCTGTGTGATAGCTCCTCAAATATTGGAAGACTGCTATCATGTCCCCTCTAGTCCTTCTTGTCATTAAATTAGATATATCTAATTCAGTTCAGAAGACAGCTGGAAGGGTCCTTGGAAGGTCTTCTAGTCCAACCCCCTGTATACAAGCAGGAAACCCTATATCAGGGGTGGATAACCTTTCTGGGCTCCTGTACAAAAAATTGTGCGGGCGCTAGCATGCTAGCACTCACACGCCAGCACCCAGAAGGCAATGCCCCCCTGCACGCCCCCTATGCATGCACGCGCAATCCCCATCCACCCACCTCACCGCCCCGTTACCTGCACTGCGCCTCACAGGTGATTCTGACCGGTTTGAGGCCTTTTTCGGCCTCCCAGAAGCTTGAGGAAGGCTTCTGCAGGCTTTGCAGGCCGAAAACTAGGCCCGTTTCGTGACTTCCGATATTTCCGGAAAAACAGAAAGTGACGAAACGGGGCTAGTTTTCGGCCTGCATAGCCTACAGAAGCCTTCCTCAAGCCTCTGGGAGGCTGAAAAAGGCCTCAAATCAGCCAAAAATCTGCCGTGAGGTGCGCACATGCGCAGTGAGGTAAGTTTGCCTGCAGCTCCTATGCTGGCACAAATGGCTCTGCGTGCCACCTTGTGGCACGCGTGCCATAGGTTCGCCATCAGAGCTCTATACCATTTCAGACAACTGGTTATCCAATCTCTTCTTAAAAACCTCCAGTGATGGAGAGCCCCCACAACTTCTAGTGGCAAGTCGTTCCACTGGTTAATCGTTCTTCCTGTCAGGAAATTCCTCCTTAGTTCCACGTTGTTTCCCTCCTTGATTAGTTTCCATCCATTGTTTCTTGTCCTGCCTCTTCAGGTGATGTTTGGGGTGACGTTTGGGGGTGAGACCACACCTGCCTTTCTTTCGATTTTTTGTTGTTGTCTAACATCAGGTCCCAGCCTTCCACAAAACGAACTGATTGTAGCTGTGAACTGGACCGGGGTGTATTTTGTCGATGAACAAGAACAAGTCCTTCTGGAATTTTCCTTCCCAGAGATAACCGCTGTCTCCAGCAATAGGTAAGACCTTTAAAAGCAACAACAACAAGCCAGGTAATCCATAACTGCGTGAACCTAAGGAAGTTTTTCTCAAACTTGACAAATTTAAGAGATGTGGGCTTCAACTCCCAGAACTCTGGGAGTTGAAGTCCACCCATCGTAAAGTTGCCAAGGTTGAGAAAATACTGTTGTAAGTGGCCATTTCCAATTATCTAGAGAATTGGCAACACCGATCTGGATCCTGAATAATCAGTCTTAATATTTCTTATATTTCAAGCTCATTCTGCCCACTGGCCAAAATTGGTGCCAATTTGTCGCCGGCCAAGCAGAACTCTGAAGCCAAAACCAAATTTAGTTTCTGAGGTTCTCTTGCAAGAAATATAGGTGCCATCGTACTTCCCCCAAACAGGTGATCTGTGTGTTTTGTGTTTGTGTGTGTGTGTGTGTGATGGACACACAGAATCAAACCTGAAGTCATCTCATTCCTTCCATCAATGGCCGGATTCTTTCTCTAATGGCCACGTTGTGTTTGCCCAAGGAAGCCAAGTAGATATTTTTGCCAAGGGGTTGGGAGGACTTCTAGGGTTAACATGCCAGGCTGAATTCTTTCCTTTTGGTCGTCTTTTCTGCAGTGGAGGGAAACTCCAAGGACAGAGCTTCACACTGGCGACCATCAAAGGCGACGAGTACACCTTCACGTCCAACAACGCAGAGGACATCCGGGCCCTGGTGGTCACCTTCCTGGAAGGGCTGAGGAAAAGGTCGAAATACGTGGTCACGCTGCAAGACAACCCAAATCCCGGTGAGCCGAGGAGCCAAACGGAAGGATTTAGTGAGGGAAATTGGGAGTTAATTCCTCAAGGGAAAAGGCTTTCCTTCCCTTTCCTTCCTTTTTCTCTTTCCTTCCTTCCTTCCTTCCCTTCCTCCCCCCCTTCCTTCCTGTTCTGTCTCCTCCTCTCTTCCTTCCTTCCTCCGTCCATCCCTCACCTTCCCCCTTCTCTCCTTCATTCCTTCCCGTTTGCTCTCCTATTCTTCCTTCCTTCCTTCCTTCCTTCCTTCCTTCCTTCCTTCCTTCCTTCCTTCCTTCCTTCCTTCCCGTTTGGTTTCCTATTCTCCTTCCTTACTCATTCACTTTGTCCCTCCCTTTCTTCCTTCCTTTCTTCCTTCTTTCCCATTCTCTCTCCTATTCTCCTTCCTTCCCATTCTCTCTCCTCTTCTCCCTCCCTCCCTCCCTTCCTTCCTTCCTTCCTTCCTTCCTTCCTTCCTTCCTTCCTTCCTCCCTCCCTTCCTTCCTGTTCTCTCTCCTATTCTCCTTCCTTCCCATTCTCTCCTATTCTCCTTCCCTCCCTCCCTTCCTTCCTTCCTTCCTACCTCCCTCCATCCCTCCCTCCCTTCCATCCTTCCTCCCTTCTTCCCTTCCTTCCTTCCTGTTCTCTCTCCTATTCTCCTTCCTTCCTTCTTTCCCATTCTCTCTCTTATTCTCCTTCCCTCCCTCCTTTCCTTTCTTTTTTCCCTCTTTCCTTTTTTTCCTATTCAGACAATGGATCCGCTCAACAATCTCTGTATTCATTTAATGGCCACAGTGATTCATTTAATGACCAGAACAAAAAAAGACCGTAAAATCAGTGTTCATGTGGGGAATCTGCTTTAACAACGACCATAACTTACGACCATAAATTTTGGGCTCAATTATGGTCATAACTTGACAACTATCTGCTGCTGGCTGAGGAATTCTGGCAGTTGAAGTCCACAAGTCTTAAAGTTGCCAGGGTTGGAGACCCCTGGTCTTAGTTCATCCTTGGTCTTGAGGGGTCATTGGCCTGGAGCCCAGATCATCCTGGCAACCACCCAGAGGTGTTATGCCCTTGGCGGAGACTGAGGGAGAGGAGGAACAGCCGACAGGGAGTGGAAGTGTGGCTCCGGAGGTTGTGGAGGAGGCTGGGGAAGGGCAGAGGCCGGCTGGGCAGTTGGAGGAGGACCCAGGCCCATCCCCTCTCCATCCTAGGGCACACAGGGAAGAGAGGATAAGGGAGAAACGGGAATGGCATGGTCTAAAGGGGAGGAAGGGGCCCTGATCCCCTTCATGGGCTGCAGCTCTGAGGACTGTTTAAAAGGACAAACTGCGCATGGGCCAGTGCTGGAAGCAAAGCGTGAAAATATCTCTAGTTTATGGTTCCTCTCTGAGTTTGGTGTCCTTCCCAGTGTGTGTTCCGTTATCTGTGGACGTCTTCAAGCCCTTATCTTGCCTGGTTCGTGTTGTTTTTTACTCTTTATAATTTAAACGGCATTTCCTCCTTTTTATAACTGCTTGCATGAGAGTTTTTTGTCTCCAGTCAAGAAAATATGGAGCTTGGAAGCAAAATGAAGGAATAAAAGGGGCTTCACCTGTTTTTTTTTGTGTGTGACTGTGTTTATTTTGTATCCCATCCTGGGTCATCACACAGAGATCTTCTCCAGGTAGATCCAGATCTTTCTCTTGTCCACCACGCTGACTTCTTCCAATTCTGTCTCTCTCTCTCTCTCTCTCTCTCTCTCTCCAGCTGGCGACGACTCCGGTTTTCTCAGCTTCCTCAAAGGAGATTTGCTAATCCTGGACCAAGACACGGGGGAAAACGTAATGAATTCCGGCTGGGCCAACGGAGTCAATGAACGGACCAAGCAAAAGGGAGATTTTCCAACCGATTCGGTCTACGTCCTGCCCACAATGACCATGCCTCCTCCGGACATCGTGGTAAACCTCCCGATACAAGCGCCGATTGCTTCAACAGAGAAAAATAGGAGTTTTCTGGGGGGAAGATGTCCATATTCGCTTGATTGAGCTGGGAGGCCATTGAAATTGAATGAATGAATGAACGAATTTCTATTTTCCTGAAACTGGTCTCGGGGAGTCCTTGGTGCTTTCTGAGCGTGGCTGGTTTTTTGCAGACCTTTCATTACCCATCTAGGGAACATTGTCAGTGCCAGAAGGTGGGGGGGAGTTTGCAGAGAGGAAGAGGAAGAAGAGGAGGAGGAGGAGGAGGGCTGACATCGAAGGAGAAGGACTGTGGGGTCCTCGGTGCTCTCTGAACTTGGTTGTTTTCATCCAGACATTTCACGACCGAATTAGTTAACATCATCAGTGCTGGAAGGGAAGGGGTTTGCAGAGGGGGGTAGGAGAACTGTAAGGTCCTTGGTGTTCTCTGAGCTTGGCTGTTTTCTTGTGGATATTTCATGACCCCACTAGATAGCATCATCAGTGCTGGAAGGAAGGGTGGCGGGGGGGTTGTACCTTATTTATATCCAGTAGCTTGGCTGGACAGTGTTGATGGCATAAGTTTTTTTTTTTCATCCTTCATTAGGATCTTGATTTCTACTCTGCTCAGTACCAATAGAAGAGAATATTTGAATATTTTCAACAGGGTTGAGCTGTGGGGTCCTTGGAGCTCTCGGAGCTTGATGGTTTTCTTGCAGACATTTTGTGACCCAACTAGGGAACCTCATCAGTGGGAGAAGGAGGAGGAGGAGTGGGAGAGGAGGAGGAGGAAGAGGAGGACTGTGGAGCCCTTGGTGCTCTCTCAG